ACGGGACGAGCGGATGAGCAGGCCAGGACGAGCAGGCCGGACGGGACGTGCAGGAACAGACAGCATGGAGACCTCAGGAGCAGACAAAGCTGAACACTCGGAGGCCGGACCAGGCGGAGCTGCAGATGCAGGACCAGACGGAACTGCAGACTCGGAGGCCGGACCAGGCGGTGGAGCCGGTGGTGGCCGAACGGCCTCGCCAGAACCATCAGCAGACACTGGGACGTGCTGGCTGGGTCCTCCCGGACCCCCAGCTAACGAGGCAGGTGGCTGAAGCGGTTCCTCGGACCCTCCAGCGGAGACAGGTGGCTGAACGGGCCCCTCGGACCCTCCAGCAGGAAGAGACGGCTGAAGCGGTTCCTCGGACCCTCCAGCGGAGACAGGTGGCTGAAGCGGTTCCTCGGACCCTCCAGCGGAGACAGGTGGCTGAAGCGGTTCCTCGGACCCTCCAGCGGAGACAGGTGGCTGAACGGGCCCCTCGGACCCTCCAGCGGAGACAGGTGGCTGAACGGGCCCCTCGGACCCTCCAGCGGAGACAGGTGGCTGAACGGGCCCCTCGGACCCTCCAGCGGAGACAGGTGGCTGAACGGGCCCCTCGGACCCTCCAGCGGAGACAGGGCTGAACGGGCCCCTCGGACCCTCCAGCGGAGACAGGGGGCTGGACGGATGAGCAAACAGGTGAAAATATAATAGGCCGAAAAACACTAACCTTAGCTTGATCCATAAGCTCTGCAACGCCAAGTCCCAGGTCTTTAGCCAACTTAGTTATGGCAGGTGGCACTCTGTTTCCAGTTCTTTTTGCCAGCTGAGGCATGGAAAAAGTCATAGGCTGAGAATCTGCCAGAGAAACAAAAGGAGTCCTAGACATAACAGCAGCCACAGGGGCTGGCCGGAACACTAGGAAGTCACTTTCTCCCAAAACTGGAGTATGCTCAGTCGTTCTGGAGTGGCAGTGGCGTGAACGCTGTTTACTCCGGGAAGGGGGAGCAGGCGAACCGAGACGCGAAGCCTCCAGCTGACCGGGCTGCAGATCCTCCGGCTCACCACACAGGAGCAGTTCTCCAGAACCTCCAGCAGAAACACTGTCCTGCTGTGGCAAACGCAGTTGCTTTACAGCGAGCTCCGTCTGCTGCTGCTGCGTCGGTGCGGAGAGAGAGATAGCCAGCTCACTGGCTCTGACATGCTCCCTCCACGCGGCTATGGTGTGGCTCAGATATGTGTCCACGGAGAACTGATGAAGCCGGGGGTTGGTTGTAATCATTGCCTCGACCGCGCTCAGTCTCACAGCCATAGCCTGTAAGCTATCGGCCTGAGCGGTGCGGTCCAGCAAATCAACCAACCCCTTCATCTCAGCCTCAAAATCCGAGGTGGAACAGTCTGCGGGGTCCATGTTCTGGTCGCGATCTTCTGTTAGGTGTGGCTGTGTGCAGGCAGGAATAGGACCCAAGGTGCAGACTCCGGAGACAGACGTGAACTCAAAAAGGCTTTAATGCTGAACGCAACATGACATAACTAGAAAAACTCAAAATAAACTTACACCGGTGGACAGGCAAAACACACAGCAAAATAAACGGTAGATCGCGACACAGACACTAAGAAACACAGGGCTTAAATACACAGAGGGAGCAATCAGGGAATGGGTAACAGGAGGGAAACACAGCTGGGGCAAATCAGGCCTAACGAGACAAGAGGAAGCAAAACCAGACACATTAACATCAGACATGGACTTTCAAAGTAAAACAGGAAACACATAACACAGACTGAACAAAGACACAGGCTCATAAGCAGGCACTACAAAGGGAACAGAGACGTGGGAACAGGGCAGACACAGACACTGACTGAACACGGGGATATAGGAACTTAAGATACACATAGACGCGAACTAGACAAGGGGATGCAGGTGATAGGGGAGACAGAGCAACTAAAGAAGACAGAGACCTAAGCCAAAAGACAGAACTCAAAGAAACCAAAAACTAGACAGTATAAATAATATCATAAACTCAAAAACCCTGGGTCGACGACCCAGGCATCCTAACACCGGCTCACTCCTGGTGGCCGATTGGCGGGGCCTGGCGCCTGTGGCCCAGCTGGGCCCCTTCCGGGGGATGGGATGCCTGAAGCTCGGTCCTCTCTGGCACAGCTGGCTGCCGGCAGAGCCCGCGGGCACGCCACTGCAACCCCCTCTGGCCTCTGCTCCGTAGCTGCTGGGTGACCTCTCGTTTGGGGCTCTACTCAGCTCTTCCCAGGAGGGTGGCACGGTTCCCCCCCTTTTGGTGGTCCTCCTCGGGTCCTCGTACTCTGGGGCCTCTGGATGTCTGGGGCCTGGATCTCCTCCATACCTGCTTCATACCCTGGGGGACGGGGCTATGGCTCCCCACACTCCCTAGCAGATCGTTACATGGAGAAACCTTTGGAATACAAGCATGCTGATCCACACAGGTGTGCACACAGGTGTACACACGGGTGTTCACAGACGCGGACTACACCTTTCGTGGCTGCTGCCTCAAAGCACATTGTGCGCTTTCTATCTTGCGTGCTGCAAAATAGCGTTTAATATTTAGTATCTACTGTTATCTACTGCTAGCTAGTTTATTGTGATGGTGCTATATTTATTGTGTTACTCTTTTTTGTTTGTTTTCTCTTCTGTTTTTTTTCTCTCCATACAGGTGATCCAGGTGTTTTGTTTGTTTTTCTTTCTTTCTTCCCCCCTTTCTCACCGTCTCTTCTCCCCTCTGTTTTTCTTTCTCTCCCTCTCTTTCTTTCATTCTTTCTCCCTGTCCTATCCCCCAGTCATGTCTGTCCCGTTTGTAGCAACCAATAAAATAAAATAAATACATAATTATAATAAAGGTCAATCAAATAGACCGATATGGCAAGGCCATGATGATCCACTTGTTAAAATAAATCTGCTTGGCATCTTTCTTGGCCTTAAGACAATAATTCTGATGGCTAAAGATCCAAATGGGACAACAAAAGATAAATAAATAAAAAATAATATAAAAACTTCGGACTTTACGTTTCCCAATTTTTGGTTTAAGTTATTTTGTTATTTACGTAATAATGTAAATAACCTAATAATGATCCTTATTGCTGTTTTAGAGAGGAACTGCAATCAAAGGATAGTTGCAGATTTCTGTCAGAATCTGCAGATTATACAGTACAAATAAAATTTTCACGTTGTCTTCCCAACAATTTCACTAACATCTACACTGGTTGGCCAGGAAGCGTTCGTAATGTCTTCTCAGGCGCTTCTCCAGCGCTGAATAATTGGCGTCTGTCTTGTGTTAGTGACGTAAAAGACGGATTTAATGCGACATGACCCAGAAAGTGACCCAGATCGGATTTGAAAATATTTGTGCTGTTCAAACTGTCATACCATGATCGGATATGGGTCGCATAGGGTAAAAAAAAAATCGGATTTGATGCGCTTTTGCATGCAGTGTGAACGTAGCCTTAGAGGGATAACATAGGCTATGGTCACACTGCACACAAAAGCGCATCAAATCTGACTTTTTTGACCCTATGCAACCCTTATCTGATCATGGTATGACAGTGTGAACAGCACAAATCCGATATTTTCAAACCCAATCTGGGTCACTTTGTATGTGGTACTGAATCCGATGCATATCTGATGTTTTAGAAAGCGACTGCTGTTTGAAGAAGAAGAAGAGCGGAGGCTCTGAGTGGAGGGCCAGCATTTATGTTCCGAAACACAACCAAGTGTTTTAACCTGACAGGCTGAGGTGTTATTTGGTAAACTGGTCTACCTGACAGAAGTACCCGAGGTCCTGCCGCACTTTTGCGGTAAGGTAATTGTGTTTGTAAGCTAATCTGTAACTACCGTCCTTAGCTAGGTCCTGAGACATAGCAAGCTAAAATGAGCATTTGGCTGTCGGGGAAACTTGTTTTGTAAAGCACCTTTAGCTAATCCAGACCTTCCCAAAGTGTGGGGCCCGCAGAGCCATTGCAGGGGGCGCAGAATGAAAAGGGGGGGGAAACAAAACGCTTGGGCACTGCTAGCATGGGGCACCCACAGAAACAGAAACCCACAGGAGATGAAGAATCGCTGAATATGTTTCCAAATTAACTTCATTCTAAGCCAAAGACTAGAAAATATGGTGAAGCATATCTTTCCTTTGGTTTCACCTGCACAAGTGCCAAGGTATGACTCCCCTACATAATTGGTTTTCCCTGCGTCGGGAGCAGCGCTGGGCTGTTCAAATCACAGACAAACAGTATCCCACAGTTGTTTATGTTTTTAAACCCATTTTGCACAGAGAGGCATTTTTTGAAAAATGTATTGATAGCAATGTTGAATATTATTACACAGGAAAAAACAACTACACGTAAAATAATCACACCGTGACGCCTCTGCCTTTCTAAATGGAGGGACAGTAACTGCGTGTGTATATGTAAGCGTGTAAAACCTGAAGATGGTCAGATTAACAGTATTTTGTCTCTATCTGCCATTCTGCAATTCATCTCATGTAAACAATAACGTGGCGCACAGCGTGACGTAGAGTTGGATGTCTCGAGACCGGTCTCGAGACCACTTTTACGTGGTCTTGGTCTCGTCTTGGTCTCGACGTACTTTTGTCTTGGTCTTGTCTTGGTCTCGACGTACTTTGGTCTCGGTCTTGTCTTGGTCTCGCTGTCTTGCTGTCTCAGACAGACATAGTGGTCGGGAGATTTGGAGTCAACAGTATCCATCACACACAGCGTAACGTTCGATAATGTATCATGCGCAAAAGCTTTAGCTCTGAGAGCCGTGCTTAGAGAGTGCTTTGTAGTGAATCAGAATAGTCGACTCCCATTGAGCGAGAGCCGGCTCCTCAATTAATTTCCTTTCGCTGCTCAGCTGTCACACAGCGACACACAGTGGCTCAGCCATGCTCAAATCCCTCCACATTGTGGCATTTTATTATTTCGCCTTTCGCGCCCTTCAAACACAACTAAATGCAACCCGTTAGATTGAGCAGTATGCCCGGTCAGTTACAGAAATGTCAGCGACTTCGTCTGTCATAAAGTTTGCGTTCATAGAACACAAAGAGTTTTTGGTAAATGCAAAAAAGAAGCATTCGGCAAAGTGCAGGTTTTGTAAAGTCTCCTTGACCGAGACAGCCGGGACTACCTCAACCTTCACCAGGCACCTGGAGCGCAAACACCCTCAAAGGTAAGCTAGCCAGTAGCCATCTATCCATCTTCAAACTCTTCTAACTACCTTTCCAACCTCAGATGACCAGGTCATGTTTATGTAATATTGTTATTTATAATGTGTTCTTCAAACATTATAAATTATGTAGGGACAGTTTTTTTGCAACCGTCCCTGCAGACTTAACTTTAACTTAACGTTACGTTACATGCTATGTACAGGTAGCTAGCGCTAGCAGTGGCTATCAGCTACTTAAACAATTTTCATTAACTTTAGGTATTTTGGTGAATTCATTGAGCAGAAATATATCGAAACCATTTCAGTGAGCACTTTAAGGGCTGGTATGGTGTGGTTTGTTGTGGACTTTAATGGGCATATTTATGTGGTTGCTGACTCATAAGGACGGGCGTTTCAAGAGTGTCCCTATAACATTGCTCGGCTAACAGCGGCGTTCTCGACAGTGAAGCCCAGATCAGAGCGGTCTATGGCTCTGGTCCAGATAGCACGGATCGCAAAACTGAGTCCTAAGGTTCTTAAATCGAACTTAAGGACCTTTGACTATGACTTTCTTAGGTGTTTTCTACTATGTTGCCCTACTAAACCAGTCCAGTGTGTAGGGGCTATTTTAGCATTATTAGACACAGTTATTTTGTATTGGTGTAACTTCAGACTTTATTGAGTAGTTCATTTCTTGTCAATACAGCTGTGTCTGATAGCTGACTGGCAGGAGGAGGCTTAATGCAACCTGCAAAGTTAATGCACAGACATTTTGTCTTTTGTAGATTCCATTCAACTGTTTTTCTGTTCTTGTTATTTAAGGTCTTGCAACCCTGAACACTCCAGTATTTTCATTATTACTAGTTGTGCCTAATGATCTATATGTGTCACACTGGATTAGATTAGGTTATTTTGTATGCAAAGGTCTGCCCTCATTGATAGGTTTAAAATTACTGTGCTTGTAAGATACAGTAGTTTTTGTGGTTGAATAGAAACCGATGTTTTACAGATTCCTATTTCCCTGTTTTGTAGGTACTTGGAGTACAAAGCAGGATCTGCAACATCAGTGATAGCGGTCAATCCCACACAGCCTCAATTATCATTGTTTGCTCCAAGCATCCACTTATTTTCCCCAAATTCACCCAGGCAACAGGCCATCACCCAGTCCATCCTCCAGGACCTTATAGTTGGATGCTCTCTCCCCCTGTCTATCGTTGAGAATCCACATTTTAGACACTTCCTGAATGTCTTGGATAGCAAATACACTCCTGTGTCTAGAACCACCTTGACAGAGAAGCTGATACCTCACCTTGTCACTAAATTGAAGGGTGACATAATCAAAGCCCTGGAAGTCCAGCCAAATGTAGCAATAACAACAGACCTCTGGTCTGACCGGAGGCTTCGTACTTTCCTGGGAGTTACTGCTCATGCTGCCTGCAAGAACAAGGACTCTTACAGTTTACAATCATTTTTGCTTGACTGTAGGCGTTTCACAGGGAAGCACTGCGGCGAACGAATCGCCTCAGCATTTGACAGAATAGTTGAGGAGTATGGCATTGGCCATAAAATAAGCTACATTCTGACGGATAATGCATCCAATATGAAGCGGGCCTTTAAAGTCAGGATGCCAGAAGTAGAGCACCCTGAAGGTGACAGCAGTGATGACCTCGATGATGAAACAATGTGGGAGGATGCAGAAGGTTCTGATCCATGGTCAACGGGTGAACGTCTTTCTTGCTTCACCCACTCGCTGCAACATGTAATCAGTGATGGGATGAAAGAGGTAAAGGCAATAGCTAGAGCCATTGCCAAAGCCAGCAAGTTTACAAACCTGCTGCACAGCAGTAGTAACCACAAAGACTTGTTTGAGGCACACTTTGGCTCCAATAAGTCCATCCCAGCAGGAAACAACACCCGCTGGAATAGCACCTACAGACAGTTAAAGGCTCTGATCACACTTGACCACGGGGCCATCACTGAAATGTGCAGCAATACAGAGAATTTAGTGTTTTCAACCCGAGAGTGGGCTCAGCTGAAAGACCTTTGTGCTTTGCTTGAGCCTTTTTCTGATGCAACAGACCTTACAGAAGGTGATCATCAGGTGACTATTAGCATGGTGGTCCCCACTGTTCTGGACTTGAAGAATCATCTTATAAAGATGGAAGTACAAATGCCCCAGGCCGTAACTATAGTCAGGGCACTGAAAAGATCCTTAGAGAAACGGTTCTCTGGAATTTTCAGGCAGATTTGCATGGACGAAAAGGATCCAGAAGAGCCGTTTAGCCATCGGATCTACTTCCTTGCCACCATGCTCGACCCCCAGTTTGGACTGACCTGGGTAGATTTAGATGTCCAAAATGGTGAAACCGGACCAGCACTGAAGAGGTTCAGAGATGACCTTAAAAAGTCATTAATAGGTGACTGTATAATAATAATTTATTGTTATTGTTGTTTTTGTTGTTCCACTTATTATCACTGTCTTTGGTTTTATAGCATCATTAGAAGCATCCTGTCTAATCCTGTCTTTGTATGTGTGTGTGTGCACCCTTTTCCAGACCTTTTGATCACAGAGGTAGACAGAGACGGACCTGCAGCACCAACAGAAGAAGACACAGAATTATCAGATAGTGACTCAGCGCCACCCCCAAAACAACGTCTTCTTTCACGCTACAAGGCATTTAGGTTGCAACGCAGCACAAGCCAGGACTCGAGCACTGATGCACAAATAAGCAAGTACCTAGACGGCATAAATGACTCTGACTGTGATGCACTCACCTTTTGGTCAAAAAACAAAGAGCGTTTCCCCAGTCTACACAGTGTTGCCTTGAAGGTCCTCTCTGTCCCTGCCTCTTCTGCCCCAGTTGAGAGGGTTTTTAGTAGAGGAGGCATTCTAATGAGACCCCACCGCGCACGGCTAGGCTATAAGATGTTGCAATCTTTAGTTTTCTTGAAGTGCAATCAATCACTGTTTTAAAATGTGAACTGTTTTCTCTCACTCCTCTCTGAAAATATGCTGTTTGTTCATTATATATTTGTTCATAAGATATTTGTTATTTGTTCATAATGTCTGTGTTCTATTGTTCCTGCCCTACTGAACAACAGGCTTGATTTCATTGGCAGTGTGTTGTAATCTCATGCCACTGAAGACATCAAGATGCCAGAATCTTTTAAGCACTTGTTCTTATTCTTATTAATGCACAATTTGTATTGGTATGTAATATTTGTAGTTTGCATCTGATTCATGTGAGGTGTGCACATGTCTTTATATTGTTTGATTACAGAATTTTACTTAAAATGGTGTTGTTTGACTAAATAAATGTGACCATTGACTTTTAAATAACATCTGCATATCACTTTGTGTTGACAGGCCTTATCCATTTTAGGGAAGTTGATATCATACAGTGTAATTTGGCTAGTACTACTACAATAGGACATGATGCAATTTCAAGTTTATAATCTTCAGTTTGATGTTACAATTTTATCTATATATAAAGTATAACTGAAACCAGTTACATATTTCATATTTTAGTTGTTGGAGGTGATCGCTGTTTTGTCAGATGACTTTGGGGCCAGTCAGTACCATCATGTCAGCCCTCAAAAGCACACAAAAGTTAGTCTTTTTTTGTCCCGGTCTTGGTCTGGTCTCGTCTCGACTTGGTCTTGGTCTCGGTCTTGGTCTCGATACCCTCTGGTCTTGGTCTTGTCTTGGTCTCGATACCCTCTGGTCTTGGTCTTGTCTTGGTCTCGATACCCTCTGGTCTTGGTCTTGTCTTGGTCTCGGATTAGGCGTCTTGACTAAAAGTCAGCGTGACGTGAAAAAAGGCACATACCTTTGACGTTGCGTGACGAACTCTGTATTCCTCGTCCACACGTAAACGCAAAAAAGGAGTTTTAAAAAAATCTCAGTTTTCGGTGATTCGAAACGCCGTTTACGTGTGGACGAAACAGCTGCGTTTTCAAAAATACCCGTGTAGGTGTGGACGTAGCGTAAAAGAGTTAGTAGTTTATTTTATTACTACCTGTAATTTATTGCAGATTACTTGTATTTGCTTAATTGTTTACTAAATGTTTGAGGTGTGAAATAAACCGCAATGGAGCAAAATATGGGTGTGTGTGGTTGGAGGATGTGTTTGTGCGTGTGCGCGAACATTTTTCTTGTAAAACAAGGGGGGCCCAGCAAAAAAAGTTTGGGAACCACTGAGCTAATCCATGCAGGTGAATGAAGTTACCCTGACTAAAGAAATCAAGCGAAACGCCCCGGGTTGCTCAGTCACTAATTACCGTTACTGTACTTTTATTACCACTATTGTACTTTAAATGCAACAGGATGCACTCTGCTTCAGCTCCGGTGCAGAACTGATTATTAAATATCTTCAAACAGCAGCATGTTTTCAGTCTCTTGCCAAATCTTTAAAGACAGTATAATTGGCCGTTTTTGACTACTTTTGATTTTACCTCTATATTTCACCTTTAAAATATGTTTTTCTTGCCTTGTTTGGTATCATTATTTTCAGCACAACCTCAAATATCTGAAATTTGAGTTATTTTTTCATTTTGGTATACTATATTAGCACAGTTGATCTAAATTCAGACAAAAAATTCAAAATCCGAGTAGAAAAAAGTTATATTTTTTACTGTAAAACCCACAAACATGTTTAACGAATCATTTTCATAACTTGAAATGCAAATAGAAATTGTACATTTCTAAAAATTATGCACAAGTTTTGCAAACAACAAAGTTATATGGTACTATTTACCTAAAAATGCAGCCAATAACATGTACAGTGGGGCAAAAAAGTATTTAGTCAGCCACCGATTGTGCAAGTTCCCCCACCTAAAATGATGACAGAGGTCAGTAATTTGCACCAGAGGTACACTTCAACTGTGAGAGACAGAATGTGAAAAAAAAAATCCATGAATCCACATGGTAGGATTTGTAAAGAATTTATTCGTAAATCAGGGTGGAAAATAAGTATTTGGTCAATAACAAAAATACAACTCAATACTTTGTAACATAACCTTTGTTGGCAATAACAGAGGTCAAACGTTTACTATAGGTCTTTACCAGGTTTGCACACACAGTAGCTGGTATTTTGGCCCATTCCTCCATGCAGATCTTCTCGAGAGCAGTGATGTTTTGGGGCTGTCGCCGAGCAACACGGACTTTCAACTCCCGCTACAGATTTTCTATGGGGTTGAGGTCTGGAGACTGGCTAGGCCACTCCAGGACTTTCAAATGCTTGTTACGGAGCCACTCCTTTGTTGCCCGGGCGGTGTGTTTTGGATCATTGTCATGTTGGAAGACCCAGCCTCGTTTCATCTTCAAAGTTCTCACTGATGGAAGGAGGTTTTGGCTCAAAATCTCACGATACATGGCCCCATTCATTCTGTCCTTAACACGGATCAGTCGTCCTGTCCCCTTGGCAGAAAAACAGCCCCATAGCATGATGTTTCCACCCCCATGCTTCACAGTAGGTATGGTGTTCTTGGGATGCAACTCAGTATTCGTCTTCCTCCAAACACGACTACTTTGGTTTCATCTGACCACATGACATTCTCCCAATCCTCTGCTGTATCATCCATGTGCTCTCTGGCAAACTTCAGACGGGCCTGGACATGCACTGGCTTCAGCAGCGGAACACGTCTGGCACTGCGGGATTTGATTCCCTGCCGTTGTAGTGTGTTACTGATGGTGACCTTTGTTACTTTGGTCCCAGCTCTCTGCAGGTCATTCACCAGGTCCCCCCGTGTGGTTCTGGGATCTTTGCTCACCGTTCTCATGATCATTTTGACCCCACGGGATGAGATCTTGCGTGGAGCCCCAGATCGAGGGAGATTATCAGTGGTCTTGTATGTCTTCCATTTTCTGATGATTGCTCCCACAGTTGATTTTTTCACACCAAGCTGCTTGCCTATTGTAGATTCACTCTTCCCAGTCTGGTGCAGGTCTACAATACTTTTCCTGGTGTCCTTCGAAAGCTCTTTGGTCTTGGCCATGGCGGAGTTTGGAGTCTGACTGTTTGAGGCTGTGGACAGGTGTCTTTTATACAGATGATGAGTTCAAACAGGTGCCATTCATACAGGTAACGAGTGGGGGACAGAAAAGCTTCTTACAGAAGACGTTACAGGTCTGTGAGAGCCAGAGATTTTCCTTGTTTGAGGTGACCAAATACTTATTTTCCACCCTAATTTACGAATAAATTCTTTACAAATCCTACCATGTGGATTCATGGATTTTTTTTTCACATTCTGTCTCTCACAGTTGAAGTGTACCTCTGGTGCAAATTACTGACCTCTGTCATCATTTTAGGTGGGGGAACTTGCACAATCGGTGGCTGACTAAATACTTTTTTGCCCCACTGTATATAACCATTTAAATCTATTTACAGAACAATCAGGTGTGCTGCATCAAATAAGAAGGCACACAAATTATTTGTGCCAGTCCAAAAAATGTAGTTTGTGTTCAGTATAAGACAGAGGAGAACACCACAGGCCTAAACCCTGCAGGTCTGACAGCAGCAAAAACTTTGCTAAATTACTAATTGAAAACATTGACCAGGCAGCTGTGATTGAGCAGCAATGTCCATCCAACTCTTTTCATGGTTGTTGTAGTCGTGATAATTTTGTGAGGCCACATTGAAAAGCCTCGGATACGGAAGCGTAGAGCTGCCACCCAGGCAAAAGAAAAATAGAAAAGTGAAAAGTATATTGTTCTAACAATATACCTTTCACGTTTGAACAATATAATATCACGTTATTACAATATACAGAATTATCACGTTCGTACAATATAAATCCATCACCGTCTTTCTCGTCTTTTCCCAGAGTAACAGCCAAACAGGAGGATCTATTGGCTAGCACTGCTTAGCCTTGCACGCATTCTTATTTTAAACTTAATCTGGAATTCATTGCAAACTGTTTGTGCGGGATATGAATGACAAGATTTTGTTTTTCTACAAGAGTTAGTAAAAAACATCTCCAGTGTGATCAAATCTTCTTGCCAAACATCCGCAGCTTTGCAGTGTATACAGCACTATAATGACCAGACCTAATTCTTTTGAAAACCATACATCTTTCCACAGGTCTCAACTTCATCAGACATCACCTAGACAGAGCTGGATGATGCCAGCGCAAACAGCAGCCTAACCGACTAAGATGATGGATCCATGGGGTCAGGAAAGCCAGAAGCAGGGCTGGAGAGGTACCTTTCATGTCCATTCACTGGAGGTGTGGATCTATTGCATGGCATTCCTCACATCAAGAAGCTGTTGATCAAAATCAATACAGCTCTTCCTGCATCTGGAGCTTGTGAAGGACTTCTTAGTCATGCAGGACTCCTGTTCACTGCTAAACAGTTACAGCTTCACAGAAAGAACCTTGAGAGCAAACTGCTGCTGAAGCTTAACCATCACCTCACTGAGTGAAGAAATGGCACATTTTTGCTAAATATGCAAAATAGATGCACACCCATACAACTTATGGTAAACTGAGCTGCCTTGTATGTACATATGATGAAGATGCCTCGTTCTGTTTCCTCTGAGGCTGCTATTTAGTTTTGTTTGTCTGATAGCAATTATTTATAAAATAAATTGGACATTTCAAACAGTTAGTTGCTACTTGAGTAGTCTTTTCACCAAGTACTTTTTTACTCTTTCTCGAGTAACTTTTTTGACGACTACTTTTCACTTTTACTTGAGTAATAATATTCAGTGTTGGGGAGTAACAGAATACATGTATTTAAAATACAAAATATGAGTAACTGTATTCCGTTACAGTACCGTTTAAAAAGGTGGTATTTAGAATACAGTTACTTTGTTGAAATAAATGGATTACACGGCGGTATTTTCCTGTTTCATATTGTCACGAGTCAGGACTGTTTGCGTTTTGTTTGACAGCTACGTTCTGTTGTTCCAGGTGGTAGCGCTCTCTCTGCCACAGTGTGTTTCCTGGGTGAGAGAGTGCCTTGTTGTTGTTGTTGTTACCCTAAGCTAATAGGCAGAGCGTTACAGGCATAGCCCTAAAGAATGTAGCCTCATGGGCAGTGTAATCAGTGCTGCAGGGAGAATGGACTGCCGTTATGTCTCTGTGAGCGCGAGGAGGGAGTAAAAGGAAATGTACGAGCTGTCATCGAGCAGAAACGGGAGCTGGAAGCATGTAAATATAATAATAACCACTGCAGCCAAAAAGAGTGCCTGACGAGCCCAGTTGTAAGTAAGCTATTAAGACACGACTGTACACTGTGTTCGTGTTTTCCTGAAACAATAAGCTCCGCTGGAGCAGCCTTTCAAGCCTCTCTCTGTCTCTCGCTAGCAAACTTGACCCACACAACAAAGTAAGGCTATTTTTCGGCTACGAGCACGACACGGAACCCGACATATTAGCCAGAGGTCCCTTTACTATGGTTCGGAGCCGCGGACCTTCAGTAATAGTAATAAATCACATTCATGTAGTTGTAAACAGCATGATAATATATTAAGTAATCCAAAGTATTCAGAATACGTTACTCTCATTGAGTAACGTAACGGAATACGTTACAAAATACATTTTGGGGCATGTATTCTGTAATCTGTAGTGGAATACATTTTAAAAGTAACCTTCCCAACACTGATAATATTTTAA